GTCAGTAAATTTAGCAAACCAGGGACACAATCTAACAGCAAGAAGGAAAAAACTGCAAATTTAGCAAAGTAAACAATCACATACTAAAATAAAAATATGTTAACCAAGACACACTCTACCCTCTTAGCTGCAAGTCAGCAAAGGCCAGCTAAGATAATCTGAGAACCTGTGGGCAAACTTTAAGAACAACGTAGTTATTAAGAGTACTATGGTATTTCTGTGAAAATCATAATTAATTTTACATATACAATTTATTGAATGTATGAAAACAAAGTTTTGGGTTCCAGGTGATCCACCCCACTTGCTCCTCACACCCGCCCTGGGGAACATCAAGTCTCAGAGTGCCCTATATTGAGCGCATGACAAGGAAACGAAGTACGGAGTGAAGGCAACAAGCAGCACGCATACATCAGGCTGGGCTGTTCTTTTCCTAAAACTATTCTCTATTCAATGTTATATTGAGTGCCTGATAATTGCCAGGCTCTGTGTTAGGAACAAGTTTCCATGATAAACAACATGGGGACCCTACCCTCAGTGACTGAGAAAGGAAAATTATTAGCAAACAGCACAAAAACCCTAAATAAAATATTAGCATACTCAACATAATAATGTATATAAAAAAAATTGAACAAGTAGAGTTAATCATTTAAATGCAAACATGATGTTCCATTAGGAAATCTATTAATATAAATGAAAATATTAAATAACTAAAAGAGATAACATGAAATCTCAATAGAAGCAAAAAAAATTTGATAAAATGTAACATCATTCACAATAAAAACACTTAGCAAATAAGGAAAAGAAAAGAACATTTTTAAACTGATAAAAAGTTATCTATCTGCCAAAAACATGGAACAAACATAACACGCAATGATGAAAAGACAAAAAAAATGAGGAAGAAGATAAAGATTCCTATTATAATTACTTCTGTCCAAATTGGACTGTACATACTACCGAGCCCAATAGAGAACAAAAAGTATAAAGACTGAAGGAAGAAAGAAAATGGCCATTATTTCTTTATAGCTGAAAAAACTGTCTACATAGAAAATCTAAAAAACTACTGGAAATAATCTGAGAATTCAGCAAAGTTGCTGAGTAAAAGATACAGAAATCAACAGCATCCCCACATACCAGCAACAAACAATTAGAACGTATCTTTGAAGAGCTACCATTTATAGGGAACAGGACAGCCTCAAAGTGCCTACCCAGAGGCAATTTATTCATTACAAAGTGAACAAGAACCTTTGCAATCTGCCTGTCACCAGGTCAATTAAGTGATCAAACAAGACAACTCCACCCAAGGGACAGGGTGACATCAATGCCACCCGATGGGGTGCAGTGGAGGGACACCTCCAAAATGCCTGAACTTCAATCTTATGAGGAAACAATGGGACAAACTGGCTTCACAAAAGCCATGTCTTGAAAAAAAAAAAAGGGGGGGAATTATTCTAGATCTGCAGTTTTCAAACTTTTTGGTCTCTGAAGCCCTAAATTCTCATAAATTACTGAGGACGCTTCAAAGACCTTTTCTTTATGGGACTTAGACATAGTGATATTTACCATATTAGAAATTAAAACTCAGAACTTTAAAAAGTATTTCTCATTGATTCATTTAAATAACAAAAACATATTAACATAAATAAAATACTGTTTGAAAAATAATTACATTTCCCAATGCACAAAATATTTAGTGTGGAGAGTAGCACACATTCACATGTTTGGCAAATCTCTTCAATGTCTAGCTTGCTAGAAGGCAGCTCATTTACTGTGCTGTTCTAGTTAGAGTTTTCATCATGAAAATTCAGCCTCAGGCAACTATGCAGTGGGACATGAACTGGCAGTTCACAGGAGAGGGACAGCAGTGGACCATGAAGGTTGGAGGCACTACGTAGCCTTGGCCCTGTGGCTGGCGGAGCAGGATCAGGAGACTCCAGTGGATTATGCCTGGTGGGGACATTATGAAGGATTTCTTTTTCCTTATTTATTCTGTCCAGCATTTTCCAAGTTTTCTACAGTGAGTGAGCAAGTATTACTTTTTTTTTTTTTTTTTTTTTGGTGAGGAAGATTGGCCCTGAGCTAACATCTGTTGCTAATTTTCCTCTTTTTGCTTGAGGAAGATGGTCCCTGAGCTAACATCCATGGTCCGTGCCAATCTTCCTCTATTTTATATATGGGCTGCCACCACAGCATGGCTTGATGAGTGGTGTGTAGGTCCATGCCCAAGATCTGAACCTGTAAACCCCAAGCTGTCAAAGCAGAGCATGCAAACTTAATGACTATGCCACTGGGCCAGCCCAGCAAGTACTACTTTCATAACAATGTTTTTTAAGTTTCAGTCAAATTACTTTTTCCCAAACCTGACAACATCATTTTAGATTCATATATAGCAGTCAGGATGAGATTACAGAAAATACAATTGTAAGTTCACTGACTTCAGTGAGGAGAAAGATGCACCCAGGACGAAGGATCAGGATACAGCAAACAATGATCTAGAACAAATGTGACCTAAAAGCATTTCCCTCTCCAAATAGATGGAGAGAGTTGAAAGAGCAAACATCGGATGTCACTCCAGTGGAGAGAATGAAAGGGAAACTTGTGGGAGACGAGGAGGGGAAACGGGTCAGATCATGCAGGGCCCTGACAGCAACGGAAGCATCAGCCCGTTAACCTCCCCTCCCCACCGCACCCTGGTTAACCCTAGTGTTCACTCACAGACCCGCACCTGTGAGAGAAATGAGAATACATCTCCTTCACTTCACCTCGGAGAGAATGTGCTCAATAACAGAAAGACTCTGAATTAGAAAAGCAAAGTCTTGAACCTTGTTCGGATTTCATCACCAAAGGACTAACAAGATAGAGCCTCAGTCGCCTATTATTAACATAAGAAAAGCAATGTCTGCCTTATCTTCCTTCATAAAGGTATTATCGGATGTCACGAAATGCCAAAAAGGTAAGATCTGAGATGCTGGCAGTGAAGCCGGACTAGCATACAGTTCTTAGACGGAGTAAAATTGCTTGGGCAAAGGGCATGCTGTTTGAATTACTGTGTACCATTCACTGAGCCAGAGGAAAAGCAGGAGAAACCGGTCTGGAGAAGACTGTGAATTTGGTTCTGGTCACTTAAGGAGATGATGTTGTTCACACAAACAATTCAAGAAAAAGAAGAGCTGAAAGCAGACTCTAACTGATTACAGGAAGAGAAGTGGGGAAGTAGAGACAGCAGTATGGAGAACTATTTGAAAAAACTGTGAGGGGCAGGACAGGGACAGGGCACACCGCAGAGGATGTGAGGCGTCTGCTTGGTTTGAAGGGGAGAGCGTCTGACGGTTGGGGCAGGAAGGAGAAGCGGGTGATGCGGGAGCTCCAGGTGGGCCTGGTTATGGGGCCTCCCTCCAACGACGAGAGAGGAGATCGAATAAAGAGCTTGAGGAACGACTGCTACAAGAGAGTGAAGGAAGTAAAATAAACATGGCCAGAAATACCGCTCCCTGGAACAAGCAAGGACGGGATTCTGACACACCGTGAATTCGACTGAGTTTGTAACCCATACTTACAACGAATTCGGGCATGACGGCTCCACAGGCTGCCCACGGGCTCCTTTCTTCAACTCTTTGTGTGTGTGTGTGTGTGTGTGTGTGTGTGTGACACTTCATGTATAAATATAAATGGTGCTGCTGATCAAAGATGTGCCATAAGTTTATACTTTGAATCACCTTCTCCCCCAAACACAGCAATGCTAGAAAACGCTAGTGCATAGACATATATTTTAATCAAGAGAGAAATGCAACAAAAGACAAGATGGTAAGCAGTTGCCTGGCCAGGCTCCAAGTCCACAGGCCGGCGAGCGGCCCCGGATCTGTACCCTGTGGGGCACTTCATTCCTCTGCAGGGTAACTGGAACCATGCCGTTTGGGCAAACCAGGAGCTCGGACAGAGGTCCCCTGCTCCTGAAAGGACGCTGAACAAAAGCCACAACTGTTGCTCTGAAACTACAGCCTGCGTCTACAGCATGCTACCTACTGCATGCGACTGGCTCTGCAAAATCACCATCACCACAAGATGGGAGCTCTGGGCTAGACACATGGTTCTGGACTGGACTTGGAGGCCCAGAGAGGCAACTGCAAACGTAAAACAGAGAGAAGTGAGCAGAGCAAGAGACAGAATAAACTCCTACTCAACATAAACATACAAACTGAAATTCTTTAGTATATTAGGAAAACTATGAAAGTCAGCCAAGAAATTCAGTAATCAGGAGACTAATTTCACTCCCGATGAAAAATGAGACTATGAAAGTTTAACAACAATGGACCCTCACTGAACGAGCCACTGCAGTATGTTTCACCAGGAAGAATACCATCCCAAGACAGCAGGTGCAGGATGTAAGACACAACGACCCACAGCCAATGTGGCCCCAACACCGCACTCCCCACACAGAAATAGTGAACGTAGTCAGAGCTCAATAAAAGTTTGCTGGATATATGGTTAGGTTTTGTGAATCTCCAATGATTTACCTGTAATTCCTAAAAATAACTCAGAAATTATCTGTCTTAAAGGAACTATCTTATATTTACAATAGCACTAACTAATTTAAACTATAAATTAGTCTTCAGACTGGCATTCAAATTTTACCTACGGGCTTCAATCTTTTCTTAGAGTTTCAGGTATCAAGAGCAAGCGATGCTGCTGCCTCTCCACAGCCATCTCATCTGTCCCTGGCTCTGTCATCTTTGGAGCAACTATTCCACCCTCGGCAGAGCAGTCACATAATTCGCCAAACTCATCCTTTGTTGGTGTTAGGCATAACTTCAGTTTCAAGACAGCATCAACGCACAATTCCACCTTTTTAACTTTAAAGTAGTTCATCGTGAGGAAATTGGCTGCAAAGCACTTATAAAACAGTCACATCTGAGACAATGGGCGGATACACTCATATTTGTTGAACTCATACACGACTGTTCTCGCTCTGAGTCAATGTTTAATTCAGCGATACTCAAACTTACCAAATACGTTCCCATTTCCTTTTCCAGGACGACTTGTTCATATAACGTAGCATCAATGTCTGCCTTTAAGGCCTGCACCTTCCTCTTCACCTGCACGTGGTGCTTCCTTTGGAGCCAATACGGAAGAAGAGATTCCACAATCTGGTTAAGGATCTGGGAGGTAATCAGGAGAGTGGCCAAGCTCTAAAGAGAAGCACATAAACGATATTTGGCAGTGTCACTTAATACAACCATAACATGTGTACAACTATGCAACAAAGAAAACGGAATCTTCAACAAATAGTATACTATTATGTTATAAAAACTAGTATCAGAAAAGCTAGGTGTTACAACGATGTTTCCAATTTACTGTTTTTTCACAGGAGAGACAGACTAAAATACAAAAGAGATTATAATACAAATAAGATTATAGCAAAAAATTAACCAGCTATGAGTCAGCGGGAGAATAAATTAACTTGAAATTGTGTTTTTTGTCATCTCATCCTGGCTACAATATATGAATCTAAATGATGTTGCCAACTTTGAGAAAAAATACTTTGGTTACACCTTTAAAAATATTACGAAACTAATACATCCTCTCTCTCTGTAGAAAACTTAGAAAATAGAAAAAAAAAAAAGTCACCCATAACTCCACAACCATGACAGACCATTGCTAACATCTTAAATATTTCTAATCATACATAAAAATAAAACTAGAATCATCCTATATGTATACAACTTTGTATATTTCTTTTCTCACTTTATACTGTGAGCACCTTTCCGTGTCCTTAAAAATTCTTTTTTTACTTAGCCCGTGCACTGCTGTCAACCGTTAAGTATTATCTCCAACCGGCACTGTCGTCAGTGCCGCTCCTTGGATGCCTCTGTACATGGACCTTCGCCCCGTCTCTGATGGTTTACTAGGGATGGCAAAGCTTCCCAAGTGGTTTCCAGAGGTGGGTGTCAATTTCCACTTTCCCCAGATAGATATCCGTGCTCCCATCACTCACCGCCTTTGCTGGTTTTAAAATTCTAGTTTTTAAACAGTCCTCCCCAATTCCCCTGTCCCCTGTTAAATAAAGGAGACTCTCTAAAGTACAGGAAATAAGAAATCATCCTCGACTAATACACTAATGGTGGCACTGAAGAAAGTATGAACTTACCAATTTCAACAGTATTATTTGGAACTTTCTCAAATATAATTTTGAAGATATTTTTTAAAAATAGCAATATATCTAGTCTATTTTGTATAACTATAGTATAGCTGTTAAGAGTACAGCATTTAATTTTACTTTGATACAAGCTGTTGGAACTATAACTACAAAATCTTTTAACTTTCTCTGTTATACAAACTTTTTAATTTCCTGAAAAATGATTCCAAACTCTCAGAGAATTATAAAGAAGCCTAAGCTTTGAGACTCTTCTCACTAACAACCTCAGTATATTAAAACCAGGAAGAAACGGTCCTTACTGATAGCTGGCTGCCTCAAGAATAAAAAAGAGAATTTAGAAAGCAATAATTTATACATATTTATTACTCACTGTTATTACGTGATCCAGAAATGGCAACAGAACAAAATATACGTCAGACTTTCTTAAACATTTCAGAAAACATATAGAACTGCATAGGATCTGCTGGTCTCTAAAGTTTAACTTATTAATTTAAAAATGAAATGTGTAAGACATTTAAAGTTAAACCAATTACTCCCCACCCTGAGACACACACAAAAGTTCAATTAATACATACATTTTTGCTGTCAGAATTGTTTTTACAAGCTTTGATATGAACTATATATTTGATTTTACTGCCCTATATGATTAAATCTGCAAGTTGGTTCACTTCAACTATTTCCTTTTCAGTTGAGTAAGACAGACAGTGCAATTGTTAATGGTTTTTTTATTTAGAATTGGGCTTAGAAATATACAAAATTTAATAACTTCATTTGTAAAAATAATAGTGGGAAGACAATTACATTACCCGAATACAGGAAACCATATCTAAAATACCTTTCTGTTGCTGACACTCACCTGACGCAAAAGCTTCATATCCCTCAGCACAAAGGCAATGTAGAAGAGTGAGGCAAAGCAATTCAGAAAGTTGAACTGCCAAAAAAAGGTAGCAATATTTAACATTGCTTCACAGTACTTTATTACAACTATAAATAGAGCATTTAAAAATGTAATGAGGGGGGCCGGCCCCGTGGCCGAGTGGTTAAGTTCATGCCCTCCACTTTGGTGGCCCAAGGTTCACCAGTTCGGATCCTGGGCACAGACCTAGCCCCACTCATCAGGCCATGCTGAGGCGGTGTCCCACATGTTACAACTAGAACGACCCACAACTAAAATATACAACTATGTACTGGGGGGCTTTGGGGAGCAAAAAAAAAACGTAATGAGGGACTTCCAGTCAAATAAGATGACACAGACTTGTTTGCCACCCCAGGACAGAAGGAACAACACAGCACCAGAGCATCTTACGTTTCTACTACATTCTTCCAAAAGAGAGAGACCAAAGCCCAGCATTTCCCACCCCCAACCTAGCAACCCAGGAAGGCCAGGTAGGCTCATTCCCTGTTCACCCCCCTTAGACCGGAGTCCTGACAAGAGGCAAGCCCAGCAGAACCAGCAAGGGAGACGGATCAGGAGCCCCACTAACAACAAACTGCCAGGGGAAGTGCTCTCCTTCCCTCCTGCCACCCTGGGCCTGATACTCCCACACCCCACAGAGAGATACCAGGATGGCCAGGCAGTGCCAGAATTAGGACCCCCCCCCCCCACAACAAGCAGCCCAGCCCCGGACACCTGTTTGTACCCACCGACCTGGGACCACCACCTCACAGAGAGATACCTAGGTAGCTGGGTGGCATGAGCAAGAGAGACCAGCCAGAAAAACGAGCCAGGCCTGGGAAGCATCTTTGTCACCAGGGACCTGAGACTCCTCTGCCCTGCCTAGACACACGGTTCAGGGGTGGGGATCCCACCACAACAAGCGCCATTCCTTCAAGTGGCTCCCCTGGTCAGGAACCTGCCGCTACCCCCTGCACTAATGTCTTTCCTTTCTGCCTCCCAGCCCCATGCTGGCTACTTCCTGCCCAGCAGCATCACTTCTGAGACGAAAGACTGCTCTGTGTTCAGAGTGAGCACTGAACGAGTGAGGGAATGGGGAGGTGTTAGAGAGACAGTGCAGTAAGATGAGTACAGCCAGAGCGTAGGGGAGGGGTGCCAAGTTAGAGCAGAACTGAAAAGCAAAAGCACAGGAGGGCTGAGAAAGGCTCTCCCCACAACATTAAAAAGAGAGGGAGAGCCCTAGGAAGCACAACTGGAGGCCGGGCAGAGTCTACTCTAGGGGTCTTTTCACAAGGCCGTCACCTACATCACACCTCGTACTATCAGAGAACAACTCACAAACAACAGAATTCTTTCAGACAAATGGAGTGTTCCAATTCATGGGCAAAAGCTCCAGATTATAATCTTGAACGAACTTTTTAATGCATTACATGAACTCCCGCTTTCTTACACAGAGAACACAGAACGTAACTTCCTTGCTGATTCAGCACCAGTATTTGAATATCAAACATTTCCCGGTGCTAGAATGAGGCCTTCAGAGCCTTTTCCAATATGAATGGTCACTTGCCCCTTTTCTAATGTCCAAATTGCTGGAAGTGTTGAATTCTTGTTATCTATTTACAACAGGTATTCTAGTTCCTTCTCTGCTCTTGCCTCTATAAATTTACCTACTTCCAGAAACTTAATCACTTCCTAGTGGTGGTTTTTGATAATTTAAGGACTGAAAAACCAGTAAATAAGCTTCTCTGAATGATTTCCACAGCTAGAACGAAGGCTCCTTTCCAAGTGAGGGCCTAGATCCCTCTCTCGGGAGTAAAGTATACGGACTATGCTAACTCAATTCCAATTGCTAGTGCAGAGGACTCTTTTTGTAAAATTTTTATTTATTTATCTATTTTTATTGAGGAAGATTGATTTATAACATTATATAGATTGCAGGTGTTCAGAGGACTCCTTAGGTCCCTTCCTTGATTCTCAGCTATATTACAGAGGGCTGAGGTAATCTCCTGATAAACAAGGCACTTTCAAGCTGACACCTGTCATTTATAATAATGGTGAGAAGAGGCATAACGTGTGAGCTTTCACACGAACAGCAAGCATGTCACACAATGCCTTCTCTCCACCTCTTTCTTCCCACCCATCAAAACACGCTGGGAACCTCTTCGCCTTTGGGAATTTCTTTGACAAAATTTTTAAAAATAATAATTGAATGTTCCATCACTAAATAGATTGTGGTAATGGGAAGGATTGTTGAGTAGTGAAACATTCAAAGAAGTCACCAAAAGGGAAATAACAGGAACATGTCTGTGAAGTGGTCAATTAGTTTTTAAATAACTGGAAATTGGCTATAATACTAAATTCTATATTTGAAGTCTTACACCATGTGCACATTTGTAATAAGACTATTGAACGTATATGTAAACACACTTATTAATCAATCCTTGCCTACGTGTACAAAGTATATTAACTATCTGACATCTTAAATTAGAAGCAAGTCTTCCTATTTACCTTCCTAAATATTACACAGTATGCATTAGTTTCATTATTAAAATGGATTTGTATACAAAAACTCTACTTACCACTAAAACTTTCAGGACTAGGTGATTCTGGTAGGCAGATTCCAATCTGTGATTCTCTAAAATAGTAAAAAGGAGAGGTGATTTCCCTCAGGTAAGACAGCAATATGGGAGCACTGTCATGAGGGAAAGTGAGACCTGTGCTGAGGGCAGAGATGGCCAATAACAGCGCCTCGGTCAGCAAACGTGCCAGGCTGTGAGTCACGACTGCTTACCACCGAGAACATCAAACAAGGAAGAAACTAAATTTAGGACACATTTTTCATGGCAGTGCAATAGCACTGTGGTCTGAAATTATTTTTCAAATATTACTGCAACAACGAAATGTAGCAAGGGATGGCAAACGATCCCAGAGACAGCCACCCAGGAAAAGACCCTGAATAAGTGGTGACGGTAGAACCGATAGCAACCTCTAAAGAACAGGGCAGCAAATAAAGTTTTCTGGGATGTGGCTTACAAGGATTAACTTAAAAGGAAACTCAAATTTCCATCCACAGTTAGGAAAGGAAGCACCGTGTACATCCCAAGACAGCAGGGCAAAAGGACAGAAACGAAGATTCTGAAGAGCAGTAGGATCTTGCACAGGGAATCAGTGTTAGCCTGACCCGGATTTGAAGCCCAGCTCAGCTACTCAGCCGCCGTCTGACCTTGGGCAAGTCACTTAACCTGCTGACACTCAGCCTCCTCCCCTACAAAACAGGGGTGCCACCACCCTCCTCTCAGGGTCACTGTCAGCATCAGAAATAGTACAAAACCTCAGCCCAGTGTCAGCACAAGGAAAGCACTCAATAGAGGAGCTGTGTTGTTATATGACTAACAAAAATAACTTAAAATATCTTTATGGTCCAAAAAGTTAAGGCCCAGACTTCTTCCTTGGGAATAACAGAGCATATTTATTTGTTTGAATACATACACAAAGAGTGAATGGCCTACCAAGACCTTTTTAAACTGTAACCAACTTCCTCTTTTACCGCAGATACATACAAGAACACCTGCCTTCGCTGAGTTCATTGACAGTCCTCAGTGCCCCACACAACTAGACAATTGGTTTTCAAATACTAGACAGTTCATTCGGTCAGAGTATCATGAAGATACTTCAATCTATTTTACCCTCAGCATAAAACACTATATTATAGTATTAGGAGCACAGGTTTTGAATAGAGGTCTGGATTAGCTTGGCTCTATGATTTTCTGTCTGAATCTTGTTAACTCTCAGTATCTTCATCCATAAAATGGTGAAATAACTTCTATTTCATGGTGTCCTGAGGAGGTGAAAATGAGATACTATGGATAAAGTGCTTAGCAGAGCACCTAGAACATAGTAACTAACACTCAATAAATGAGAGCTGTGATAACCACGATGTAGAGATCATCAGAGCTCACGAAGCCAATGAACTTTTCCTTATGTCTCTATAATGAGCCCAGAGCAACATCTAGCTTCTTTGCAAGGTAGCAGTTATAGGAATCCTATGATCTAAGCAGTATTTCTTATAGGAAAGAAGACGTAAATACAAAGCATCAAGTCTTACCCCATGAAGTTAAAAACTCAGCAGCGTATCGATAGAGACGGTTCATGATCTCAATCACAATGGCATAGATGATGCTGGGCACATACAACAAGACACTGGTCCACTCGGACCCACTATCCTCGTGTAGCTCCAAGGCCCAGGCCTCCATGTCGAAGTAGATCATCATGACATACAGAGAGAAATAGAGACAGAGGCACACAAACGGCAGAGAGACCAGGTAAATGCGCAGCTGTCTCTTGTAGCTGGGGTAGAGAGGCTCCTCCCTGCCAGTGACGGAATTGATACCCAGGACCCCGTGAAATCCTGGCCGGGGCTCCTCAAACTGTCTCTTCATGACCAGTGTCCCCCACCTGTAGGTCATATTGGCACAGCCACGCTTCCACACTTCCAGGATCACTGTGGACCAGATCAGGTTGAAGGAGGCGAAGATCACGTACTTGTCATAGTCTTCCCACACAAACATGTAGTAAGGTAATCCAATGACCGCCATGGGGATTAAGGCAAAAGTGAAGTATTCCAAAAATCCAAAGTAAAGAGCGATTGTTTCCCCAAAGTAGCCACGAATACTGTCTACAATGAAAGGGAAAAAAAAGACCTTGAGTACAGACTACCCAAGACTTTCCTCTTTTTTCTCATTTCAAGTCAGCTTATTCATTTTTTCAGTTAAGTGGAGATCATTAAGACCCTCATGTTCCAATCAGAGTATGACAGTAAATCTATCCTCCATGCAGGACAAAGACCTCACTCGTCTGCACAGCAAGCCTGACACTTTCCCTAGCTTAGGGACCAGGCCACAGCTGCTAGGGCTACCCTGCCAGGCACACTAGGTCTGTTTCCTCTTTACTTCCTCATCTGGTGGATGCCTTCTTCCCAAAGGAAAACTCACCTTGGAGCTTGTCCCAAGTCTCCAAGGTCTTAGTTCAAATTCAGCCATGGCCAATGAACCATTTTAATTTGGGGGTTTAATTTAAGCTCCTCACTTTTCTCCCACTGTTCTTTTCAAAGAAGTCTCCCCATCCATAGTATCCTGCTCCCCCTACCCAAAGATATAAATTTTCATCAATGTGTCATGGCAAATTTTTCAATACATTGAAGAAAATTTATTCAAAAGCACAAAACAATATTCTACACATTAACTTCTAAAACAGCCATGGAACACATTTATCTATACCTTCCTATAAGGACTGGGCAGAAGAAGGGCCAAAGAACATCACTGCAAATAGTCTGTGAACTTGACACAAGCTAACTAACCCTAGAAAGGTCATGAACACTGCATTCTTCACCAGCCACATCTACCTGGGTGGTAAAAGCATCCTGCACGGGGACCAGGGTGTGAGGCAGTGGGTAGGGGAGGTACAGTAGTTAGAGTTATTATTTCTTGGTTAATTACATGGAGTTAAACATTTTTCTTTAAAATAACGTGTCAGATAGGTCTATGCAGATGGCTTAGTCAACAGGAATAAGCTATTTTCCCTATCCTTAATTCTTCCAGCTAACCCAGTAGCACATTAAAACAGTGGGTATGATGAAGTCACCTTGAATCTGAATCAGGTTAAAGGATACCCAAGCGAAAAAAAAAAAAAGAGTGCTCATGGTTCCAGGCTCCAAGTCAGACCACCTCCCTCTTTCGATCTCAAGGGGAAGTTCAAAATTTGCCAGTGCCCCAGCTACCATCACGGGTCCCAGCATTCCCAGAGGCCTCAAACCCACTACCACAACCCTGCTCAGCACTCACCATCAACTCACATGCCCCCCTCACTTTCTAAGAAGTAGCTACTGGATATTGTCACAAGTCGTGGAGGCAATATTTAAATTTACTGCCACCTAAAGGCCAAACAATGTGAAAAAATGTCATAAATGGAACATAAAATGGCCATTGTATCACCTGGAACTATCAAAAACAAAACTTTTCCTTTCAAAGAATATAAGAAAATATTCAAAATGAAATTTGAAAATTTGATCTTAAAAACAATTTTTATTCATTGTTACAATACTATAACAGTGGTTTTCAGAAATGGAAATTAGAAAGAAATTATTTTAGAGGGATTCCTTTAAACAAAGTCAAAAGAGGAATGTCCTTCAAAGAAAAACTGATAGTAATGCTTATGTGAAATCTACCATCTTAAATATAATCCTTATGCTTAAAAAACATAACTAAACCAAAAAATTTAAATATTCATATTGACATAAGTTTACACAAAATAATGTTCAACACATACCAAATAAATTAACGGTTATTCTTGTAACTGTATTCAGAGAAAATGGATAGATCCAGTAATACACACCAAGATACTTATAAACTACCTCAAAAGATGCTTAGGCCTGCTAGTCTGCCCCTAAGAATGGGCACAGATTGGCCCACGCCAAACCATTAGCACTAAAGAAACAGAAATTTTCAATACAAAATATTCACAAACTAAATTCTTATAAAATTTATTCTACTCCTACTCTGATACACTCTCATGAAGGCCATTCTGAATTGCCTGTGTTGGTGAAATTTAGTGAAAGCCTATAATTGAGTTCAGCTGAAAGGGTATTAGAAATAAAATAAACAAACAGGTCAGGTAACCCATCATACCCCCCTCCCAAATTCTTCCCCACACCTAGCTGGTGAGCCCTCCCAGCAGAGCGTTAAGTATCTACCCAAGAGGGATTAACGCCACTGCTGACCCCTGGCTGCTCATCAGTGGGTCTCCCTCCTCTCTAAGGGGACAGGTATCGACACATACCTACAGGCTGATACTTCAGAGTGAACCGAGTATACCAGCTGTCCTCAAGCTTCTTCAGGGCTTCATTATCATGCAGCGGGAACACCTGAATTATGATGCCAGACGTGAGCAATCTTCTCACTGCAGAGGGAAAATGTGCCAAACTGCATAAAATGGCTTTCAGATTGCTCGTGACATGCTTCATCGCTATAAAGACACTCCAGTAAGAGAGGAGTGCTACACAAAGACCAGTGCTGGACCGCCTACTCCAAAGGGGGGTATGCTTTTGTTCTTCAGAATGTAAGTATCTTTACTATTTTCTTTGACTATGAAAGCAATACAAGTTGACGTAAAATTTTAAACCATACAGAAATGTACATGTTAGAATTGTAGAGGCCCCAGTTATTCTCTCCCTCCCACAAAAGATAACCACTGCAAATAGCAATTTAGTGTAAAACCAGACTTCTTAATATACATCCATAAATACATATTTTAAAAACAAAAATGGGGGGCTGGCCCCGTGGCCAAGTGGTTAAGTTGGCGCACTCCGCTGCAGGCAGCCCAGTGTTTCGTTGGTTCGAATCCTGGGTGCGGACATGGCACTGCTCATCAGACCACGCTGAGGCAGCGTCCCACATGCCACAACTAGAGGAACCCACAACGAAGAATATACAACTATGTACCGGGGGGCTTTGGGGAGAAAAAGGAAATAATAAAATCTTTAAAAAAAAAAAAAAGCCTATAATCCCAGAAAATTTAAAAAAAAAAAAAAAACAAAAAACAAAAATGGGATCATTCTATAAACATTGTTCTATAATCTTTTCTCATGTGGTTGTATATAATGAGTATTTTTCAATGCCAATATAAATAGAACATGAAACATCCTTTTTACCAGTATCATAATATTTCCTTGTATAAAGTGCTATAATTTAATCCTATTAAAAAATACTTGTTTCCTTTTTTGCTATTATAAATAATGTTAAAATTCTTACACATATACCTTTTCTTACCTGTCTAGTATTTCCTCATTATATACACTTAGAAGTAGAATTGTGAGGTCCAAGAGCCTGTACTTTTAAATCTGGACACATATTACAAACCTGCCCCTAGAAAAATCTTACCAATCTGTCCTCCCACTACATTGAATGCAACAGAATATTTAGTTCCTTTTACTCTTGTTGACACCGAATATTTTCAAAATCATTCTCGTCTTCTCAAATTTGGTAACAACGGCTTACATTCACAAACAGCAAATAGCAAAATCAAATAAAGACTTTGTACTTTCAGCAGTCATTGGACTAGCGTGATTTTAACATTCATGCACGTATCTAAGAGAGAAATGAAATTAACCACAGACAATATCCTCTGGTAATAATAAACGAGAACGGGGCATTCTCTCATCCACAGTTACTTAGAGTGACTCACGGGGTGGGAGGATCTTCAGGTCTTGAAGACGTAGTGTGTTCAGTAGACATGGAGAACCCAAAAGCAATGCCTTGTGCCCTATTTGGGGAGAGGAGTACTTCCCACAAGAGTTCCTAGAATAGTCTCTTACTAAAGAATATGGCTGCTTATAAGACTGAATTTGCATCAAGAAAGGATGCTTTGCTGTTTTCATACACTGATAAGCTTCGAGACTTTAAGGTTTATCAGCTCATCTCTTCTAAGGGTTGCCTCTCTTATCTCCCATCTACCTTGTCACCAAAGACAGATGATGAGCCTATCAGGCAACAGGCCCTTCACTGGGGAAGGCAAACTAATGTCTGCAGCGTGGAAGAGAAGCATGATTGACGTTTTCAGTGTAGAAATACTACATATAACAAAGAGAGATGGTATTCTCAGAACAAATGCCCTATTACAAAATCTTCAGAGTAATTTAAAAGTAGACCTAACTTCTTAGAAATGAGAAAAGGATAATAAAGAGGAGATAACTGATACTAACAATAGGAAAAAGTCTAGGTCTGGAAAAAAGATTTTTTTTTTAAAGATTGACACTTGAGCTAACATCTGCTGCCAATCTTTTTTATGTTTTATTTCTTCTCCCCAAAGCCCCCCAGTACATAGTTGTAAATTCTAGCTGTAGGTCCTTCCAGCTGTGGCATGTGGGATGCCGCCTCAGCATGGCCTGATGAGCAGTATCATGTCCGCGCCCAGGATCCAAACTGGTAAAACCCTGGGCCACTGAAGCGGTGCACACTAACAACCACTCAGCCCCAGGGTCAGCCCAAAAAGATTCTTAACAGATGGTTCTTCTTATGATTATATCTCATACCTAAGTTAGACAGAGGAAAAAAGTCTTAAAAAGCTAGGGTTGTGATGAAATCCTCCTTCTTAATGATTGAAAAACGTATACACTCAAAATATCAGTAACTAGGCTAAAAAGGTAGATGGCTTAAGTTATAACAGCCTCTGGTGCTATCAAATCCATCTTTTAATATTTTTACTCTAAAGCGTTTCGGGGGATTCTTCTTCAGCTAACATGCATGAAAGGCGATCACCCACAACTCTTGTGATTCTTATCTTGCACTTGGGCACGCACACTGCACTTTATTCTTTCTTCCATTACTCTCCTTTTCAATGACTATATCAAGTTTTTTTAACTTTGAGCTGACTTACAGCATCTAAATTATTATTTTACTATTTCTAAAGCTCTTTTTTAAAAAATGGCTTCATTCTACTATAGGAGGCTTTCCAGGCAGGCATAAAACCCAGCCTGTACACTTCTAAATATAGGACTGTGAACTGAGGGACTCGGAGACTGCAAAGCTGCAGGTCCTAAATTACTGGGCTTCACTTCGCCATCAATGCCAAAAGTATGGTTCTGGTTTCAGCTTCTAAAAATAGAGGGGTTTTTTTAATCCTTCAACTTTCTCATGTCAGCTAAAAGTGTAATTAACATGAGCCTTACCTTCAAAGGAAAATACGATGCTGTGCAGGCCTATTTAAAGAAAGGAAGAACTTCAAAACCAAGATTCCTTCCTTCAAGAATGCTCAATGATCTGTTGTCAAGCACTAGGGTTATTACTATTACAGCCACTTAACAATTAGCTAAACAAACCAAAATCTAGGGGAGACTATAAGTAACCTGGCTTATAGTAGGACCTTCTAAATTAAATAGTGCATAACAATACCAACATAGTACTGCCTCTGTTTTTGGTTAACGTGATGTGTTTACTTTAAAGGTAAAAACAAAAATCTCTCTCATAACTCCTTACAGTATCTCTGTGCAACAGAGAGGAGCAGGTTATGCTGCCACCAATGCAGCAAAGGGGTGATGAGCACACAGAACACCAACAGGGAGCAAAGGCCAGTGCAGCCTTTGCACAATAGACACAGGGCTCCCCATCCTGCCACAGCTGCTGCTGAAATCCAGTGGCCCCTCCCAGGCCCCACCTGACTCTGGCACTCAGGTGTGAACATAACACTGTCTTAATAATGAAAAAAAACTGCTTCTCAGGGATACCCGTGTTTTCAAAATACATTTTTATATTCCTGTATTGTTTTCATCCCTGCTTAATATAAAAACTGCAGGGGCTGGCCTGGTGGCGCAGCGGTTAAGTGCACATGTTCTGCTTCAGCGGCCCAGGGTTCACCGGTTAGGATCCCGGGGGCGGACATGGCACCGCTCAGCAAGCCATGCTGTGGTAGGCATCCCATGTACAAAGTGGAGGAACATGGGCACGGATGTTAGCTCAGGGCCAGCCTTCCTCAGCAAAAAGAGGAGGATTGGAGGCAGATGTTAGCTCAGGGATAATCTTCCTCAAAAAAAAAAACCCTGCAAATATGTATGTGGCAAAACACAGGATGTATATGTATATACATAAATATGCTGCTGTACCCAGAAAGATATATATATATATATATCAATAGCTTAATCTTGTTATGTACATGCCTGCTACATGATATTTACTTGAAATCTACTCTATTATTTTTATAAGGTTGATTAATAATTTTAGAAGACAGATTGTATCTGACCACCCTAATAAGTCCATTTGTATATAGAAGATATTCTGAAATAGTTACCATAATGTCCTAAAAGAATAACAATATATATTAAAGACAAAATATGAGATGTGCCATATCCCGTCAACTAATGCATGATAATCATCTGATAGGCATTTTGAGACAGAGCTTTAACTTAAACTAAATAACATTCCTTAGGATACAGTTAATACATAAGACATTCTTGGCTCCCTTAACTCCTCTTTCTAAAGAAAATCTTGCATTAGGTTATTTGCATGACTCCTGACTATCAGGAGTCAACAGGAGAAGGCAGAGGCTGAGAGCATGAAGAGACCTTAGCTCACACAGAAAACTAGAACTGGGATGCCCAACAAGATGCACACTGACGGCTGAGACACAGACAGCCAGTTTCTAGTTCTCCCCCTTGTCTGCTGTTTGATGGAATGACAGAGAGCCCTAAAGTGCAGGGCTCACAGCACCACCAACTGCCTCAGATGACATTTACAGGACACAAGTTGCCATCTACTTAATGAAAGCTTTCTATCAAAACACGTGATAGCAAACAAGATTATAATCATTGCATGTAAAATAAAACTAAACCCAGGATAATGGAGAGTGTTTCTCACGAAAGCCCTGGCCAGCTCCCCCAGCGCTGACGGGGATCACAACCAGCAGATTGCTCTCTCCTCCAACCAGCGTCAGAGAAGAGGCTGCTCCAGGGAGCGGCTCCCGCGAAACTTAAAGGCCTTTCTACTTACGTCTATGGATTAACTTCACGAAAATCTAGGATTTTAAGTTACTCGAAGTTTTATTAGTTCCAAAATTTGCACCCTGAAAATAGTTCACAGTTTATAATTATGCATATACTATTTGGTCTTCAACCAAATACTACAATACAAACACAGCATTTTAGGGATCACATCTTCAAAGACATAAAGGAAGAGAATAACGCAGAATTTTAAAATCCATCCTTGACAACTTAACTATGATTCTAATCTCAGAAGGTATAAAAAAACTTCAACTGACCATGATTGAGATGATTTTATCGTTCTCATATTTATTGCAAAAAAAGAAAGAAAGAGAGAGGGACAGAAGGGAGCGAAGATCCTTGTTTACAAATGCCTCATCCTGCCAGCAGGAAAGTTATTTCTATTATGGGTTCAGGACACCAGCCTGGC